AGAGGACGAAGATGCGATCACTGGAACAAGAACTTTATTGTCCTGACGTTTCGGATTCTCACTCGAACCCATAATCAGAGACAGTCGCAAATGAGGGTAATGGTGGCACAAGAAGTGCAGTATTTATAGCACGTGGCTGCCGTGAGACCACCTGCGCACTGTAATTAACAGCTATCGCAATCACCGCTGGGAGTCGTAATTGATGTGATGGTGGTTTGTCAGTCCGCGTCAGAGTCGTCAATTGCCGTGAGTTCGTCATCCGTGTTGGATGCCGGTGTGACAGTTGCTCGGCAAATTGGCTCACTGTGACTGGGATAATTGCTCGACCGTGCCCTCGCAAACGTGACTGCTTCCCCTGTCCAGGGAAAATCTCAGCACGGAATATGGTAACGAGAGGTCATTGCGCTAGTTGATGAATTGCGGGTCTGAGGACCATGACTCGAGTAGCTCGCGGCTCACGCGGTCGCGAGGATTTCGGTCTCTTGAAATTTCAAAATATAGCCGAGTCCCGTTGAATGAGCCGCCGCCTGAGAGCTAGCGTCTCCCCGCCTCACTTCTGCTGTGTGCTCGGCAATTCGCATCCGGAGTAATCTCCCAGTTTCTCCGACGTAGTTGCTTTGCCCGCAACTGCACCAGATTCGGTAAACGACTCCAGACGTTTCCTGCCGTGGCAGCGGGTCTTTCGGCCTCATGGCTTGGCACCTGATGGTTGCTTCCGGCCTGTATGCAACCCCAACTCCAAGTGGAGTGAGAAGATGACTGACGGCTTCCGAGACGTTTGTTGCCTACAGAAGAGCCCGCCAAAATTTGGGGCCGATTGAATTTGGTCTCTGGTGTTGTTTTCGTATGCACTGGTTGACAAAGTTGCACGGGTAGCCATTGGCTCTCAATACCCGTCGGAGGTATTGTAATTCAGCAACCTTGTCTTCCATTTCACTGTAGTGCGTCTAAACACACCGGTATAGCGCTCTTACGCAACTTCGTTTGTGACTGATCGGGTGGTTATTGTTGAAGTTCAGTGTCTGCGTCGTATTCGTCGCATTTCTGAACACTTTGGTTTTTAGGCCACCACAATCTTTGCGGCATACGAGGACATCTAGGAAGGCCAGCTGGTTGTTTTCTTCCTCCTCCATCGTAAACTGAATGTCTGAGAAGACGGCGTTGAGATGTTCTTTGAATGTCTGCACCTGATCCCGTTCGAGGACGACGAAGGTATCATCCACATACCGAACCCAGAATCTCGATCTGTGGTGTCAGAAAACCAGCGACTCCAACCGTTGTAGGACCGCCTCGACTATGAGTCCCGAAATCGGCGAATCCATTGGCGTTCCCGTCACCTGCTCGTAGATTGTTCCGTCGAACGTAAAGTACGTCTTGCGACAGAACTTCAGGACCTGAATGATTTGTGCGTGTCCGAGGCGATTCTCCGTTTCGTCGTATTTCTTTCGTAGGAGTAGTTCGATGGTCTCGACTGCCAGGTCCTGCGGGATAGAAGTAAAAAGGGACGTGACATCAAAGGTAACCATGAAATCGCTTGGCAGGAGACTTACCCCTTTAAGTTTCTCCAAGAATAGCGTTGACGAGCTGACTATGGTTTTCGAATCGGAGGTCAGAAACTTGAGACGTCGAATCAGCCACTTTGCCAGACCGTAGGTTAGAGTGCCCTTTAGGGATACGATAAGCCAGAGAGAAGTGTCCTCTTTGTGTACTTTTGGGAGACCGTAGAATCGGGCTAGGGCCGTTTCTTGTGCTCTCGCCATGCGTCGGTCGATTGGCGATATTGCACCCGAGTTCTCCATTGCCAACAGTGTCGCGTTAATCTCGCGTGTCAGCGTTTTTATGGGGTTGTATTCGCATGCGACATAGGACTGACGATCCTCCAAAAAACTTTTGACTTTCTGACTGTAGTCTGTCCTCTCCAATACGACCGTGGAAGACCCCTTGTCCGCAGGCACGATAACGAGGTCGTTGTCGGCCCTGAGTTCCTTAAGTGCATCGGGCTTGACCTTGGAAAGCACGTCGCGCGGCCTATGAGCCATGCGGAGGGATGACACTCGGTGTCGAATGAGGTTCCTCGTTTCGTCTGGTCGTTATGGCACCCCCACGCAGATGAGTTCCGAGCCGTCCTTTCAGAGGCCCACCGCTGGTCGTCTTGACATCGGAGCAAGGAGGCGAAGGAGGAGAGAATGTGGTAGATACTCCTCAAGTTTTTCTGTGACCAGTCCGGGTTAAACGCGGTGAATGTCGTCGCCGGTGATAGAGAGTGGTCCTGGCGATGTTTACGACAGTGACACCGAAGAACCGCAAGGCCCTTCATTTCTTCACCTTGATCCGTGGCATGAATTATTTGCAAATCCAAGTTAAGGACTATTGTCAGGAGGCGGTTATGAAGCCTTCATTTCCTCATATGAGAGCATTAAACGGACCTTACTGATATTGAGGAGGCTCATAGGTTGCAACGGACGGCAGATGCACTCTAAGCGACGTCTTCCCCTTGTAAGTACGGAACACCACTGGTCTCCCCAATGTCTGCCCGTATATACGAACCGCCCTCCTAAAAGCGAGCATAAACTACTTTTAAGCCCGCAAGACTGGACGTTTAACCCTAAATTTGGCGACTTTACTTTTCTTCCCCGTCCTTCTTCAGAAGAGTCTGCGAGGCACATGTCATTTGCACTGTATGTACGATACCTTGCCTCGAGCTCGAGTGCGTTGGGGGCGTTTGAGGCTGAGGATGAAACAAATATACCCAGCAAGGATAAAAGCAACCACAAAAAGAGAGAAAGCTGTCGTCGTAATGGGGTGCGGAACAATCCACTATTTCAAATAGAATCAAAAGTGCTCAGCTCAGCTCTCTGCACAGATCCACAAAAATTAGGACACGTCCAGATGTGTGTTCTTCCCTTGCAAGGGAACTTGGCAGACAATAAGTATCTTGCATAAATTTACGTTGCCGGTGGTGAAAACCCCGTATCAAGGCACTGGCAAAAGCCTTGCGCCAAGTAAAGCAAAACATGTTATAAGTTATGGAATAGTGCATGACAAGTATTCTGTAAAACAGACCTCTCTGAAAAAACAGATTGCTATATTAAGAGAGGAGGCATGTGGTAACACAGTGCTTTCAACGCCGTCGCTCCCAATTGAAATCGGTGCCATATGATTCACACTGCCTGCGCGACTTCACACGGCTCCGTTTATTACTCCTTTTGTCGGTTCCATCTACGTGCACAGGAGCTCACCTCATCGCGGCTAGAAGCGCTTGAGCAGTCAACATGACACCCTCTCCTGCTCACGTAGAATAGTCACTTAGCGCCCGAGGCTGTCCTCTGATTGGATTGCATTGTTCGACCCGTTATCCACCTAGTCTGAGCTGGGTCAGAAGCTGTCTACCCGAAATACATCGGGACATGCAAGGGATTCTTCCTACGGAACCTTAATAGTGCGCGTAGAGACATATTGATCGTATTACTAATTCTGCCTTCGCTCAATCCACTTTCCAGGTTCGTGACCTTGGACTGGTCTTGGGGTCATTTGGAAAACAAATTCTCTACAAGTAGGAAATTTCTGGACGCAGACAGGACAGACATCGGCCTGTTCTACAGCGACCGCTGATTACCATTACACGTAAGCCTTTATTGCCAAGCAAAACGATGTCCTTCTGGTCTGCAACGCGCCCGCTGCCACAGTCAAAAATCTACCCAAGAGACTGCTGAGCATTCTGATAGCTCAGTGACCCAGTAGTAGTGAGCATGCATCAACAGCTGCATCGCCAGCTTTTAGAATTTCAAGCGCGACAAACGAACGCTAGTCGTTTGTCTCAAGTCGCTGTTCTCAGCTGCGTCCCGTCATAATTAAAGTTATTTCTTCAGATTGCAGCCCAGAGGAGTAGGCTGTGTACGGGAAACTGGGACCTGATGAGCTGCGAAGTCGGTGCAGACGGACTAACTTTGTCCTTTCCGTCATCAAAGGCCTCAGATTGTTGTGGATGTTGGGGCAGTGGGAGGGGCCTGGGGGCTTGCGTTCATGCGGTTTGGGACGATTCGTGCGCTTGAGTGCTCATGCACAAGCCGCCTGAAACACTCGCGAACAAAAAGGAAGGTGAAGTAACATGTACCATTCCGTGTGCTTGTTCGCGCGCGTACAATGAGCACACTTTAGAGGGACCAGTGTCGGTAAAACGCACCATAAACACACCTTGCCGTGGCCTCCAGGGATCTTCATGACTGCGATCTGCTCATGCTGTTTTCGTGGCAGTTTGGGTTGTTTGTCATGGTTGCCAGACAGATACATAAAGCCTCCGACCAGTGTTAAGTCGTCAGGCACTTCCTGATCCCAGAGAGACAACGCCATTTGCGAGGATTTCTGGCATGATGCAGGTTTTCCCTGAATCCTTCCAGGTCTCGCTGCCGCCGCGCTATCGCCCCTTCCACTGGATGCCGGTCCCGAGGGTCCCGTCAATGACCTGCATGTCGTCCTTGTCAGCGTCCGTCAGGCCCCCGAGGATCGGTTGTCCACCATGCTGGACACGCCGAAGTCCCAGTATGAACAGAATAGCATTGCCGACAAAAACAAGGGAGACTCGGATGGCCATTTCTGGCTTATTAACCGTCGTTAGTCAGTCACATCCAAGCCCGAAGTGTGGGACACCTGGGGTTCAGTATGAGCGGCCAGTGGAGATCATTGGACGCCTGTGACCAAGTCCATATAACCTACCCAGTTTCCTGGAAGAATTCCGCCAGTACTACTAAATGCACTCAGACCTTCGATTTTGCACAGACTGGGTTAACTGGACCTGAATGAGCCATAGTCAGGCCTTGTCAGTTAACCTACCATTCTGGCGTCGGTAGCTCCAAAGACAGGTGAGGTGAATGACAACTGCGAAACGGCACTCTTGCCTAACCCCTCCATCTCCTAGGCATCTACCGCAATCCTACTTCTGAAGTTGTCTCAATGACACAATGTCCATCCAAACTCTGTCTCCTCAAACCGTTGGATTCTTATCCAACAACAACAACAACAAGACAATCGAAACCCAGCATTGCTGCTAATCTGACTTGAAGGAGGAGACATGATTGCTGGAACAAGAGCTTTATTAGCCTGACGTTCCGGGTTCCTGCCCGAACCCATCATCAGAGACAAAAGCAGATACGGGTGGTTCATGCACAAGGGGCTACAGTATTTATAGGATGCAGTCGCCATGCTACCGCATATAGTTGGAATCACAGAAAAAGCAATCGATTACCCTGACAGCTACCTCAATCCCACTGCCAGGTCATTTGAAGTGCCCCAAAACTACAGTGAGCCAATTTGCCGAGCAACTGCCACACCAGCATCCAACACGGATGACGAACTCACGGCAACTGACGACTCTGACGCGGACTGACAAGCCACCATCGTATCAATTACGAACCCCCCCCCCCCCCAGCGGTGATTGCGTGAGCTGTTAATTACAGCGCGCAGATGGTCTCACGGCAGCCACGTGCTATAAATACTGCACTCCTGGTGCCACCATTACCCTTATTTGCGACTGTCTCTGATGATGGATTCGAGTGAGAATACGAAACGTCAGACCAATAAATTTCTTGTTCCAGTGATCACATCTTCGTCTTCCAAAACCACATCTCCCTGAAACCAACGCCCAGACCGTACCATATCCCATGGACGCGGCTAATCCCCAGCGTCACTCCAACGCCCTTGTTGAATACTGTTCATAACGCCTGCGATAACGGTACCAGCGGAACCAGCCCCCAATAATGTCATTCCATATGAACGCACAAATTTCTAAACCGCGCGTCCCGTACTAACCCCTGAGTCGTTTATGCATTTACATTTTCCCGTATAACCATAGGTCATTAGTATTGTATTCTGTACCATACCTGCATAAGTAAATCCCCACTGAGTTGGCGTATAACGTTATCGCGCCTGCTTTTCCACAACTTTATGGTGTGCGCTGCCACCAGGCAAGTACAGTAGATGTGCTATCTCATTAAATGTAAGCCGGAATTATAAAATGTGCTCTCGATTAGAAAGGAGGACTTGGGTGGAGTTGTCATTTTAATTGTCGTGCAGCTTAATTTCAATTTATTTCATTCACTTCTTTCCGGCTGCTTTCAACAAGCACACTCTGTAAATAAAACTACTTACATGGTCTGGCACCTCCCATTTGATTTTCAATGCCCTGATAAATTCAAGTATGGACGACAGAAAACGTTCGAAAAAATATTCTTTCTTTAACCTACTTGGTAGAAAGTTACGACTTTTATAAATTGTATGCCCGAAGAAGGGGCATCATTCGGTTTAGGAAAACTGGTAAGATGTGGTTTGGCAGCCCCACCTTATGGACACAATACTGTTGGGGTTGGGGTCAGGGGTTAGGGTCAGGGATCATGGTTAGGGGTTAGGGGATGGGATTTAGGATTAGGAGTTATAGTTAGTGGCTAGGGTTAGGGGTTAGCGCAACTATTTCTCAACCATTGAAAGTACAACCACGCACTCCTAATAGTATTTCTCTTACATACAACTACTTGACCTCGTCGCCTGTGCGTTCCCCGGCTCCACCAGTAAAAGCTCCTATTGCTACCGGTCCCGTATTAAAGGTGACTGAGGTTTGTTTACTTCAGGTGGGGCTACCAAACCACACCCGACCGGAAGACATTTTAAATTCACGCGTAACTTTGAACTTACCTTGCTGTTGCGCTTGAATTCAGGGTTTTCAAACTACAAACTGCATATTATCCGTGTGAGGAAAACCATGCATTTCTATCCGCTATCAAGAGGACGTCACACACGGCTCATAACATTTCGAGGTGGATATGGGCCATGAAGCATGCTTTATAATCGCTTTAATAAATGGACAGATGCAATTTTTTTTAAATGGACATCTCGCCGTCTTAAAAATCTCATAATTAGAGACTTCTAAAGCCAAATGATTGTCATTCTTCGACTAAGAAGCTCAAGATGTAATTTGCTACCAAATATGTACAAAAAGAGTGTCTCCGTTTGTTTTCTATAAAGCATATCTGACTTTCATGGCGCATCG